GTAACGTGCGTCTTCTCTCTCGTCTGCGAGATTCACGGTCTCCTTCCCTCTTCACACGTGGAAATACGAGTTATGTGACACAACGGAAGAAAAAAAAAATCAAAGCGTGAGAAACGATTCACGTGCGATCGATCGGATTATTCTGCTTTTGAGAAAAGAAAAGATACCCCGTGTCGAGAATAAGGGACGCCTTCGAGAAGCCGAATAAATATCATGCGGACATGATGATCGTCCCTGACCTATAATCTCTGTATGTTACATCGTATATACATATATATTTATTATTCTATTAGGATGAACAGGCATTATCGATGTCGATATTGTTTATTATTTCACGTGGCCGATCTTGACTATCCGTTTCATTCGAATTTATAATTCTAGTATTAAAGAAATATAAGAATAACATATAAATATGATTTTAGAAAATTTACAAGTATAATTCTAAATATTTCCAAATATGATTTCAGGTCTATGACTCTAGACGAGAATAAAATAAAATGTACGGAAGACCAGTAGTGGGAAGTTTTCGGAAATTTGGAACAAACGAATGCGGCAATACAAGTGAGCGACACGAACAATTTATTTATGCGATCGAAGATTTGTCATCGGAATCGTGCTTGAGACCATCGAAAATCGTGGCGTTTTACGAGCGAGGCTAATTTACGCGTTGCAGCAGGTGGCAAGGAGTGACGGCGCGGCGTCGTGCTGGTCAAAAATTTCAGCAAGGGTACCGCTTGCCATCTGGGTTCCTGCCTCCGCGCAGCGGCCATACGTACCCGATACCGGAGCCTTACGTGCCCCTCGAGATTTTCGAGTGCGCTTATAAAGCGATAACGCCGCGAAATTGTAGGTTTTGCGATGTACTTCCGGTTAAATATTCGATTATTCGAATGAGACAATCATCGCTTGTTAACGATTCATAATTAGATGGAATGTGATATTTGTTACGTGTAGTAGTCTCTTGTAAGGAAAAGTTTATTCCTGATTTTCCATTTTTGTTGTATAAGAGATTTAGAATAAAAAAAAAAAAAAAAAAACGAAGAATTTCATACGAGGCCATCACAGATACATCCTGCGTCCTCAGGTCGTACTTTCAAAGTAATTTCATTCGCGTTCAGAAATATTCCAGCGTCACGATTACGGTAATCGAGTGCACAAACAGAAACGGGCACGCGCCGGCAACAAGCAGGTGTTGACATTGAACAAATCCCCCTCAACGTTTTACCCGTTTTCTCCTGACGCTGTTCCGTTGTGAGTTTTGGTTGCTTCGAAATCGATCAAACGTTGGTTTTCCAACGGAAAAAATAGTTTCGCTAAAGCATATAAAAATTTGGCCAGATAGAGTTGAAAATTTGAATCAACAAAATAATTACGTAGAAGATGTACACAAATTAGTTGTTAGAATATTAATCATTTTTTACATTATTATTATTTAAGCATTCTTTATTTTGTTGCTTTAATATTCTATATTATTTTCAGATTTATATTTTGTTATTTATATAATTTTTAAATATTTTCAGCAAATTTATTTTTTCTGTATGAAATGATCAATTATATTTGCTTTATTGTTTGATAAGTCTCGACCTTTATTTACGATACATTATGTTTTAATTTTATATTTTCGAATATTTTTGAAATTTCTTAAATATTATTTCGTCGTTAGAGTTAATTCAAAGTTGAAAAAGCATTAATTTTCTAACATGTATAGACATGTACAATTTCTTCATACATTCGACTTTTATTAAATAAATCCCAACCGAACAAACTGAAATATATATATATTATATTTCCTAATTTTTTTTAAACTATCAGCATGTATCCTCGGAACTCATTCATTTCTATTCTTTAGAAACGCTTTTACTAGACCGGATATGATAAATCCTAAAATATCATTTTGTCAAGACTCGTCAACCAAATGTTTTGTTGCACGAAAAAAGAAAGCTTTGAAATGTCAAAAGAGATAAATGACCATATTAATAGAACATAACAGAAGAAGAGGATTATAAATTTAAGAGATATTGAAAAATTTGTCGAAAAGTTTATTATCGGTAATTCTTAATTCAATAATAATAATAACAAAATTTAAGAATATATGAAATATTATTATTATATTACATCATAAAAATAAAAATTATTACATTTTATTAATAATTATTAACAATTAATTATTAATAATTATTAATTATTAACAATTAATAATCGTGAAAAATGAGTATTTAGAAAGGCTCTTTGAATATGTTGTAGTATGCATGCCAATGTTACATATATATTACCTATTTTTATTTACAAAAAAATGAAAAAATTATTAAAATATAGATTAATCTACATCGCATATAAAATATACAATACAAAAAATTTTGCGGTGGATTTAGAATCTAGATAAAAAATTATTTAAATAATAAAAAGAAAATGTGTTTTAATAACAATATAATTAAGAAATAAAAATCTCAATTTTTTTATGTAAATATTTTAAATTTTTAAAAAAAATTTTAATAAAAAATTTTAAATATTTAAGATAATTTATGTAAAACTTCATTCATGACGCAAAGCTTAGTTGTTTTGTAAATAAAAATTAAATTGTTATTAAAAATACAAACGGATGATGATATAAATAAAATTAAATTTTAAAACTTAATTTTTCTTTTTTGTATTATATTTAAATTTAAAATAATCTGTTAGTTGTTCATAATAATTTTTTATTGTAAATATAAAAATTATAAAAATAGGTATAATGTATCTTTAAGATTCGACTTTCTCGCTGCAGCTGAATTGAATTATAATGTCGAATTATAAAGGCGAGACATGTAAAATGACATGTAAAAAATTTCTTGTATTGTATCTTTATTTTATATTTTTTTCTTAAAAACATATTTTTATATACTTAAAACTTGTAAAAAATATCAGAAAGTAAGATATCTGTTCACATAAAAAATCACATAAAAGTGTAAAATAATTCTTAAAGTAATGGTATACTACTCAGCTATCAGAAATTATCAGATCACTAGATCTAATTGTTATTGCAAGAAATTTTTTACATGTTTCTCGCTTTTGATGTCACACAACCCATGTCATACCATGAGAAAACTAAGCCTTAAGGCATTTATGATCATGTATAGAGGAAAAAATGGATGAAATAGAAAAGATATAAGAATTTTCTAACTGTTTGGAAATAAAACGCTTCCAACAGTGTACAAAAAATGAATTGTCATCCTTGACCATAGTATTTTCTTTGCAAAAGAAAAGAGGATCTAAGAAATTTTGGTCCGCAAATTTTCAAAGACATAGGTATTGTCTCCGTCGATGGTTAATGATGCTCATTCGATACAAAAGAACATGTGGAATGAAGTAAATAAATCACAATTTTTAAGACAAATTGTTATTATATGTTAAATTATAAGCTGAACTTCCCAAGAATTTAGAAGATTAATAGAAAAAAAGCAAAAATTTTATATTTTGACAAACGTAGGAAATTTTTATCCGTAACATGCATTTAACATGCAAGACGCAAATATTTTCGAATATAACATTACAAAAGAATATACGTTTCAAATAAAATGATTTATTACGGAATGATTTATCAATTGGAATCCGACATGATCTTTTGTATTTTCTCTGCCTAACCATATATATGGACAATGGCTAGGATTGCCATATTAAAATTTTCAAAATTAAGACTTACAAACCAAAAACCCTGGACAAAAATGCGTTTAAATTAATAAAATTGATTAGAACAGTAAATGAATCATTATTTCACATGTAATTGTTCATTAGCATTCAGAGCAAAGAGAAATTTAAACTGGATACTAAATAAATACAGACTATTTTGATTTAAAATAAAAAGTACGCTAAAAATCCTCCCGAATACCCTAAAAAAAGAGGACAGTGTCCAGAGAAAAGAGGATGAATGGCAACCCTAACAATGGCATATAAGAAAAGGAAAATTCTTTTCTTAATACCGGAACACGTATGAGAGAGAAATCAAAGAGATACAAAGGAACGACAGGAAGCTTAGTCGGAAGTATACAACTGAGTATCGCCAAGGAAAAGTCTGGACAATAGACAAAGAAAATTTTCGATACCACCGTCTGTTACAGTATCCATAGATGCGGCGCCAGTTCTAGTTTTAATTCTTACAACATATACGATTTTGCATCCCAGCAGATCCCAGTATATCTTCGCCAGTTAAAGGTATCCATGTTCGCAATACATGAAAGAGAATTGTATATATTTCGCTAAATATTCGTCGTTAAAAGGCAAATAAAGGCATAATAAAATTACCATTCGTTATTTTAGGTTGTGAACCTCTCTCAAATATCACACTGGAAATGTTTTTTTAATATCTAATCTTCTAATAAAATTCCTTAGTCTTGAAATCTCGAGACTCGCACACTTAAACTTATACTTTACCTTAATTTCATTAAGAATATTTAAAAAATTATAAAATAATAACATATACTATCCGCATTCATTTTCTCAAATTTTTGTAATTCATCTCAGATTACCCAGATGCACATCGAATTATCTATCTACCCAGGCTTTCAATGAAATTTTCACAATATTATTCTCAAATTAGTTTTTTTGTGACAATTTTTAATAGAATTTCTAAAATATTATATTTCAATAAATAAAAATAAAAGCAGCCAGTTTCGAATTGACCATAACTGAGTTGCGATATTCAAGAATGAGACTTGGGAATGTTTAAGATATTCAAGAAGTTTCAGTTAATAAAATTAAATTATAGACATTAAATAAATTTCTAAAGGAAAGTTGAAAATTAATATTTAACATAATCTTTTAAGATTGACAATACCTTGAAAATTTCATAAATTGTTTCTATCTAATAAATTGAAAATCTAATAAATTGTTTATTATCTGAACACATATCTAAAATCTGAAGTCGATTCTTTAACTGGTTCACTTGTTATTTAACTTTTAATTTTGCATGAATTCTTGTATAGAATAACAGCGTATTTCCACTTATATCAACAAAATTATAAAAAAGCAACAATATTCTGAAACTTTGTTTTTGAATAAATAAAATACTGAGCAATGTTTCTAAAAAAAAGTTCACATCGATTCATTGACTCATTATCGAAATATTAAGCAATATAGCAACATAAAATTTCAAAAATAAGTTATATTTCAAAATACGTGGCTGTTTTCGACTGTTTTCGAAGCTAGCTTGTAGATACTGTAGGAGATCGCAAGAGAACTAGAGCGATGTTGCCATGTTTATTACATGATGTGAATAAGCATTCTATTTTGATTTGTATAAAGTGTTAGAAAGGCAAATATTATGTCAATGATATTTGTTTACATACTTAGGTGCTTTTAAGTATCATTTGATATTTAATCTACGTCAAATATCAATGTGCACCACGTTTTTTTCGTACATTTCTTCCTACAGTTGATTACAAGTAAAATTCATTCCAAAAATTTTTTGCCGACGATTATAAAAATTGCAAAATATACAAATATATTCAATTGTAATGCTAAATATCATATTAACTAACATTATTTAAGCCTTCTACACAATACAAACACATATAGTATCTTAACTTATACTATAAAACCTATAAAACACAAAATTTCATCAATTTCAAATTTAAATAACTTTTATTTGGGATTATATAACTAAAACTGACTTCTTGATTACATCGAATATCTCGTTAATTAAAAATAGATGTACAATTCTACAAAACAAATTTTGTTTGAAATATTAAATTTTGTTTGACCTTTGCGCATTATTTGCGAAATCTAAAACTGCCAACATTCTGATATATTCCTCCGTTTTTGCGTGAAAAATTTTTGCGTGAAATATAGATGAGTATCGTACGAGTGTGCCCTTGAACTTCATAAGCTAGTTATGAATCATCCTATATAAACCCCGAAGGGTGCGAATAAGAGAGAAGGAGAGAGAAAGGGAATACAACGGTTTATGTACTATCCTGTATATATATATAATCCCGTCGTTTTTCCTTCTGAATGGTCCTTCTAGAAGGTCTAGATGGTGACCATCTAGAAAGATGACGTGATATAAGTTTCTCTAAGTAAGAGGGATGCTAAAAGAAGAGATGCCTCAACCCTCCGAATGCAAAGAGTAATACTGTCCGAAGAAATAAAAGAAAAGTAGTGCGTTCGGACGCTATATGCTCAATTTCAGGCTTAGAAGAAGAGGGAGAAAAGAGAAAAAAGGGGAAGAGAAGGATGAAAAGAGAAGGATGTACATACAGGAAGAAACGAAGACGCAGTCCCAATTTGCTTCTGCTTTGAAAGCAGAATGGCGTAGAATAGAATAGGGAATAGTTTATGTGACGTTTTAGGGCCACTTCACTTTCATGTGAGGTCGATAGAATAAAATGGAATATGTTCGTACAGGCATAATATGACTCGATATAGTTATATAATTTCAAAACACTTCGTTGACAAAGAGAGATGGGCACGTCGATGTAGAAAATTCGGGCACCGATGCACCTTGTGCGCACGTATGAAATTTACATAAAAGTACGTACATATTTTCCTTCAAAATTGAATTTTTCTCTTCTCTGCCAAGATACAAAAGAATAATATCGCGTTGCTTTGAAGAAACTCAATAATTTCAAGAGCAACAAGACACGACTTTTTTCGTGGCTCGAAAAAAGATTCGAAAAATCGCAATTCGCGCGATTATAATTCCTAAGAGGAAAGTGACATTCTTCGGGGAAAAAAGGAAAGGGCAGCCTAGGCCAGAATCGAAACAGAAAGAAAAGCCGAAAAGAAGCATGGAAATACATACGGCGAAGAAAAAGAACGGCGAAAAGGTGGAAAAAGAGGAGAAGGAGGAAGAGAAAGAGATGGTCGCTCGTATGCGGTCTTATGCGTGAGCATACATGGGGCACAAGCATAAATATATAAGTTGTACATGCTCGCATAACCGAAGCAGATGCACTCACAGAGCGCAGCTGTCCTCCTACTGAGTAGTGGTTCTCAATCATCCCTTTCCTCGATTTTTCTCTCTCCCTTTACCTCCTTACCTCCGCTCTCCCTCGCACCCGCTCTCCTCCTGTTCGTCGACCCCCTCCCCCCTCCGACGACAAGCGCGGGAGTCCGAGGCACAAAGGAAATCGCTGTACGACGATTGCACTACGATTGTCGATAAACATTCGCGTCGCAGCTGATCGAGCGATTTCTTTCTGTTTTCTCGCCCCTTTCTCCTCTCCTCCTCGTTCACTCGCGGAGGGAAAAAGGGCAGAAGGGCAGAAGACATTAGAAAAGGGAATGTACAAGGCGAAAAAATATAACGCGTGTCTCCGGGAAGAGATGTATACACGTCGAACGAAGGCACCTGATCGAAGAATAATGCCCGATGCGTTATATATTTTCGATCACGCGCTTTCGGTGGATTCGAGGAATTTTCCTTGGGCTCCGACTGTTATGTCACGCCATAGGAAAGAAATAACGCCTCGATAATATGCCTTGGTAGAAGCGCGATTGAAAGCGATTGAGAAAGATTGAGAAGCGAGCGTGTTTGGAATTCGTAATAATCTTAGCTTTCCCGACGGCTCTGGCGAATTTTCGCTTTTTCCCTCGAATCAGGGCGAGTCGCAGTCGTCGTAGATCGCAACGGATAATTTCTTTCGATTAAATGCCGAGGAAATACCATTTATGAAATTTATCGTAATGCGAGGATAATATACCAACGCAACGGAGGAGCGTGCCGCTAATAATGTTGAGAGGAGCGTTCCAACCTGTTACAAAGTGGTGCCCACGTTTTTAATGACGCGAACACGTGGTGAACGCAAGTTTCAGCTGTTCCAGGTGATACCACGGAACGTGTGTTACGCGCGGATCGACAAAGCGAGCAAAACTGTTTGAAATCGGTACAATCGTGATGCCTCGTGATCCACGATGCGGCACCCGATTGAAACGTTATTCCTCCGGATCTCACTTGTCATTTTCTCGATTTACAATCGGACAATCGAGCATTTTTGCATTAATGGCCGACCTAAAATTCTCCCAGTGTAACGTAGATTTATATGAGGTGTGCTGAGAATCAAACAAGAACAATCCCACGAATCGATCTCTCCGCAAGTAGTTTGACATAAATCTTTCCGTCGCGAAGATATCGCAAATCTCATTATTAAATTAAACATTACGCAAGTACTTTTGATATACACTTTACTGTATTCTGCGATTATTTTATAATCTGTTAATTATTTATGAATGATTTACAATGACTTTGAGAAGGCTGTTCTTATTCACAGTTTTCGGCAATTTAACTATCCTATTTACATATATTTATAAGTGCACAATAAAACGCGACATGGCGAAACGACCATGTGTACATGCTGCGATGCGTAAAATTATCGAGTAAACAGAATTAAACACTTTAGCGAGATGACAAGGTAATCGTTGATCATGTGAATTACAAGGCATTATTTATAAAATATTAACGAAGAGAAAGAGGGCGTTTTTCGTTATAGGACATGAAATTGGTTGGCGTTATCCGACGGAAAGTAATTTACCGGAAAATACATGCCAAGTATAATATAAGATGACCGATGATATTTGTAGAAATTAAAAAAAACAAGTGCTTATAAACACTCGATAGACATAATATACGCGGTATCTTATCACCTTTTTTAGTGTTGTTCGCTTCTATCGTTAATAAGCAAGATCAAAATAGATCGTATTATCACGTATAAAATTATATATTTGTTAAATTGTCTTGATACGCATGTAATATTCATAAAAAGTTGACAAACCGCTGATTATTCATTCGAGTATTTAAGCCTCATATTACAGACAATCTATAACTTTGTCGGAAATTTTTGTGTATCATTTCGCAGACACGACTGTTGGTAGGATTTCAAAGTTTTCGTTTTCTGAAAAATTTGAATGATCATTCTTTGCCTGCCAACGAATCACAGTAATTCGCTAAGAAACACGTGGTAAATTCTCATTGGTGCAGTACACAGACCAGGATTTCAGAATTCAAAATATAGAGTACGACAAGGAATTCTCTTAAATTGTCTGTCACATCGTCGTAAATCACATGCACACTACTACTATAATCGGGACGCGTGTATATAACCGTAAACGTTAATTTTAATCATTTGATGCCGAATAGTGGTATCTCTCCCCCAGGTTTTGGTGCTACATCTTTCAGGCTACATCTTTCTGATTGGTCGCCAACCGCCTGTCACTGCCTACCTAGACGGAACAACAACCTGGACCATACCTCGATGGACCTGGACGGAAGAACCAGGGGCTGTTGCCGGGTGTGAATGATCGTTATGGCTGAAAGAAGCCAAAAGTTTCCTTCCAGGGACAGCTGATATAATTTTGGCGGGCTCCGAACGTATGATCGGAATAATGTGAGAAAAGGCGGAGAAAAAGACGAAGAGAAAGAGAGAAGGGAAAGGGGAGAAAGAACGATAGAGAGAGACGCACAAGGGAGGAGGACGCCGAGGACAAGAATGAGGAGAGGAAGGGGCACAAGCGCAGGGAAAGGGAATGAGAGAGAAAGAAGGAGAGAAAGAGAAGAGGGCTTCGAGAAAAGGGAAGAAAAGGAAGAAAGAGGGAGACATTTGCTTCTACCGGGATAGAAAGGAGATATCCTACCATCCTCAGGTCCCATCGTTGAATCGTTGGTTTAGCAGCTTCAATGTCACCGTCGTCATCCTTTCCTGATTATCGTCATCGTTGCTACTCGCTGTTAAATAAGAATACGCCCGCTCTCCCCACTCCTTGGGGCCCAAACCGAATAAAGGAAGCGGGACCAGGTGTCCCAACCACAGTTTGCTCGAGGACCTCGCTGCCGTCAGTCATCACTTCATCTACCGAAGAACTCTCTTTCCATTTCGATCCTCGTTGAATCTTCTCGCGCATTCTCAATCTCTCGTTAGTGTTGTGTAGTGACGAGAAAGACTATAAAAAAAAAACATACTTGAAGATGAAAAAAAAGCCGAAAAAGAATCAAAGAAAAAAGAGAGAAGAGAAAGAGAGACAGAGAGAGAGAACAAAAAAAGAAGAGAGTGATCTATCGCGAGTGATGGACGACGATCTAACAACGTGTCCGATTTATTTCCTGCGAGTGACGCACCTCGATCGAGCGCGCCGCCCGGCGCGTCACGTGCCGAAGAACATACGAAGATCGAGAAGGAAGACGACGATGAGAATCAAGAAGAGAAGAAGGGGCATTGTGCGAGAGGATCGAGAGAGGAGCCGCGTCACGGCGGATTGACACGGCGATGATCGACGTCGGCGCGGCGTCGATCCGCATCTCCCGTCCGCACGCCGATCGCGGAGTGACCAGCGCGAAATTTCACCGGAAAGAGGAAGCGAGAAGAGGTCGCATACCGAGGACCCGAGAGGACCACCACCTCGTCGTCGTCTGATATGGGTAAGACTGACGGTAAGATTGATTTGATCTTTTGATACGTCGGACGGATATCGCTGATGCGGCGGGAAAAAGATTCCAAGATAAAATGTCCCGAAAAGCAAACTCGTCACGACACGATAATAGAAACGGTCACGCGGTCGACGGGAATCAAACTCTAATTTTTTAACCATCCGAGAGGTGCGAGTCGCGTGAAAGACCTCGACGTCTCTCATATCTCGCGATTGTTTTTCTTTCGCTCAGTTTTTTTTTTTATTTACGAGACAGCATGTTTTTGACATCGCGAAATCGGCATGGTCGGCACGTTAAAAAAAAAAAAAAGAATTTGCGAGAGGCTTCGTGGTCGATCGGCAAAAAGCTTCTCGCGGGAGAAGTTTTCGATCGCACCGGCACGGCGGCGTCGTTCGCCGAAAGAGCGGTGCTCGATATTCTAGAGGTGCGGGACATTGTTTGCGTTACGCACGCATTGAGCGCCCGCGATAGAGCTCGGATTACGAGTTACGGAGAAACGAGAAACGTCGCGGACGATAAACAACAGCGTATTTACGCGCGAATATCTGCACGCCGCGTCCATTTCCGCTTCTCCGAGAGTGGCGGCGGCAGCGTCGTCGTCGTCGTCGGAAGTCGGAAGTCGGAAGTCAGAAGTCGGAAATCGAGTCTCGAGAACGTTACGTCATTGTTACGCGAAGATCTTCCAAAAAGGGGAGGAAAAAAAGAAAAAAAATGCACGAGCAAAAAAGGAGTCGACGCAGATCGTGCGTAAACGTGTTTTCACGCCGACATTCCGAATCGCATTGCCTCTCCGAGGGTTTCGTGCCACTTTTGAAACGAACGATCCTACGTGTGTGCATGGTGTGTCTCTCTCTCTCTCTCTCTCTCTCTCTCTCTCTCTCTCTCTCTTTGTGCGTGCATGCGTGTGTGTGCGTGTATATACGTATACATGAATTAGCGCGCGCCCAGGGTCCCCCGGTTTCTCGTTTCACAGAAATTCCGGCGATGTGCGGGATCCCTATTTCTCAGCGAGAGGCCCTATTTTCGGCGGCAACGCGCAGCGTCCATGGGCCGACCTGTGGTCCACAAGAGGCAACCTCGGGCGACCACTATGATTTGTAATTCGAAGTAGACGCTAGATGTTAGAGGCTCTCCGATTTGGAGACTGACCGCCAAGGCCACGTCGGAGAAGCCCCCCGTGCATGCAAGCGAGCGAGAAAGAAGGGCGTAGAAGAAAGAAAGAAGAATGGAGGTACGCACGCACGCACGCACGCACGCACGCGACGCTCACGCATTTCTCGCCCCCATCAATGGGCGAACGCGTGTTACGCGCGGCGCAGCGTGCGTAATCTCTCGTAATTCCAACGAATTGCACGTATCACGAAACGGACAAACGGACGGATGGACGAGCGGACTTCGCGCTCGATTTCCGGTGGCGATCGCTGAAGCAGAAAATTCGTTCGCAAAGTTCGTTCGCGCGCCGCGTCTCATCTGATTATTTTTGAAAAATATGATTTTTGGCAAAGATGATTTGGAATCGTTAATTCTGAACTTTTTAACAATAACGTTTGCTTAATTTTCTAAATTTTTTATTCGATCTCATCCGAGAGAACGCGACGGTTTATTTTAATTTGAAATAATTTGAAATTTAAATAATTTAATTGTGTGTTCTCTCGCTTTTTATGTTAGTTTAATTTTATTTTATATTTTTTTCCCTTTTTTAATTTATGTTGCATCTGTTTTTTCTCGCACCACGCTATTTTCTCGATGTACTCCTTTTTGTAATAAATCTATCAATTTATAATTTACAAATACTTAAGTCATTTTTACATCTATACAATTCTCTTCAATTTTTCAATGCCATTTCTGCATTGGAAAATTGCAAAAATCTCATTCAGATATCGCGTTTTATTTTTTCTTTTTCACAGCTTTTGGGCGATGCAGCCGGACCTGCGGGGCCCTTCGACAGATTCGGCCCTGGTCTTCGGCTCGCACGATCCTGCATCGCAAATTGGAGCGGAATGACTACCGTCGAGTCGAAAAGTATATATCGTCGTCGGTTCGACCGATTCATCGGCGCCTCAGAAAACGAACGAAGCTACATGTTGCATGAGAGATGGGTCGAGATATGTGTCAATATTAAGTAGAACATTTTTCAATATTGCACTAGTCCCGGCCTATCGGGATGCATTGTATTTCATCGAAGAAGGAAACAAAGATGGACCGACAACGGACAAGTGAGAAAAAAGAGAAATACAGAGAAAATTGTTTGAAAGAAATTTGCCTCCTCAAAAGTAGTTGTTCGAAATAAAAAATCTTCGAGGATCGGGCAGGTGGGGATGGGGGCAATATTTGTGAATGATTAAATTCAAATTGCACTTGTCCCGGCCTGCTGGATCAGCTCGACATATCGACGTGTCGCCTGATATCCGATAAGAATCTTGATAGAAGCGCATATCCGGTGAAATCTGATCCCGTTGGTTTTTATATTAATTCACAGTACCGGATAGTCTGAATGCTAGTTTGTAAATTAGATCCAGCTTCACTTTACTCGTTTTGTCATAGAAATTAGAATCGATGAAATTATCGAGATAGCTTTTTTTATTAATTTGCAAAATTTTATTAAAACATCCCGAGAATATAGAAACATTATAAATTCTATTGGTCGATTTTAATAACAAATTTTTCTAGTGTAGAACATCGAAATTTTGATTATTGCAAGCGAAAGAATTATAAAATTTCCGAGTTCGATTCGATTAAACGATTGATGAGAATCTATTAAAATTAATTAAAATTAATTAATTAAAATTAATTTTGTACTTATTACAATAATCCTTATTATAATAAGTCATACGATGCAGTGTTTCAATTTTCTTAATTCTGCTCCATGTGTTATTAATCTTATCATTCATGTTTTATAAACTGAAACATAGATATAAAACTAATAAATTATGCTTTTGTAAAAAAGATATTACGAAAAAAATGAAAAATAATAAAAATTGAATAAAATTACTTCAAATGTGAAATCACTTTTCATCCCTTTGTTCTTCTCCAATCTCCTTTAAAGTTTCTTTTAAAGAAATAAATATTTATGATTTTAAGAATAGATATTTATTCGAATGTTCCGAAATAATTTGTTAAAAGAGAAATTAAAGATAGATTTTCTTGTGTTGAGGAGCCATAAATGCTCGCAAAAACTGGCGCGTCGATAAAAATATAAATTAATAAATTTGATTCAAAAATTTCGTGATTCGCAAATAATATTGATCACGCGTTGAATCGCATTGCGTTGCGTGCAAGTTCTCGAAAAAGGGCGAGGAGAGAAAGCGTTTTTACTTCAGAATGTCACTCGCGAGTTCCCGCGCGTTTCCGGTCGATTCGGGAGTGAGGTAAACGACAACGTTTCCGTCACCTTGCAGGGCGCGATTATTAACGACCGCGCACGAATTCGGAAGGAAGAAAGGGTGGTAAGAAAGAAGAGAAAAGAGAGAGGGAGAAGAAGCCGCGCATCCTTTTGTGCGGCGCCGCGCTCACGTAACCGTTCCATCCGAAACGGTCGCACGGCATCGGAAAAGAAAGAGTGAAAGAAAGAGAGAAAGAGCAAAGGGAAACGGACTTCTTCCCAGTCGCGAAATCGTTTGTTTATATCACGAGTCCCGAATTCGCGGGGATTCGATTTTTCACACTTCCGAGAGAAGAAAAAAACATGATGCTCCAACACGTATAGCTCAGACACGTATCTATATCTTCCTCTCACATCCCCCCTTTTCTCTCTTTTCTTCCTTACTCCGCGCTCTGTTTTCTTTCACGTGTGGAAGTGTCACGTGTGCAACGTACCCCCGTGAACGCGTCGCGGAGCGTATTTCACAATTC